GCGCTGGTGGAAGAGTTTTGGGAGGGAGATGATGACAGGCTGATGAAACCAATCAAACAATGAAGTAATCAGAAACCCCAGTGCTGGCGGCAAAGGCGGGAGGAGCTGGAGGCTGATGGAGCCGAGGTCCTAAGGAAGCCATCCCACTCGCCAGGAAAAACCCCAGGAGGCCGAAGCACTCAAAGGCACTAAGGTCCTGTGTCAGGGATCGATGGATGGAGACTGTGCTGATGAGGGCAGGGAAAATCCTGCTGGCTTCTCTGGGAGAGCCTTGTGGAGGGCACAGAGGACGGGCATGGAGCGGTGGCTCCCCAGGGATTGGCTGTCACCCATCCCTCAGGAGGACAGCATGAGCTGTTGTTGGAGAGCCTGGGCACTGCTTTGGCTGCTCTTCTCAGATTGGCCTGCAAAACCTGAATCTGGGACCAGAAGCTGAAGAAGGTGGGCACAGGATGACGGCTGGGATGAGAGGTGATTCCTGCAACGGGGAACGCTGCAGATGGGTGTGATAAGCCTGACCTTGCCCTGCAGTGAGACATCCCCACCGGGACTACAGTGCCCACTGACCAGGGGACCCTTTCTGGGTGCTCACTGGCTTTGCTGAAGCTGATCCTGATGCTGGGCAGTCTGCTCTGGTCCAGGCAAGGAGCTGGTATGAGAAACTCCAGATAACTGGGAATTCAGTGCCATCACATGGAGAAATGTCCCGGACTGGGGACACTGGGGAGTCACGATTGCTGCAGGTGCTTCAGTGGAGCTTTGGTGCTGGTTCAGGCTTGTGGTGTAAGCAGATCATGTTTCCCAGTGCCTTTCCACTGCCACAGAGCCAGCGGGACATGGAGATGTGCCCCATCCATCCATCGGCTCCTTGTGGGGTGGCTGCTCCTCCGGGGTTGCAGGATGCTGTCAAAGAGGCTGTTCCACCTCCCAGACACACTCGGCTTGTTGGGATGGACAGGGTGCAAAGGGACACTGTCCCCACTTGTGCTGTGCTGGTTTTGCTGGGGCAGAGGATGTCTGGATGTGGTGGGTGCCCATGGCTCTGAGCCCAGCAAGATGCCTGTCCCCTCCCTGTGCCTGTGGAGCCGTTGTCCTTGTTCAGTGAAGGTGCCTTTGCCAGCCCTCCCTGGGTGCTGGTGCCCCAGGGAAGCGATCTTAATAACACCTTGTGCTGGTCCCAGTGGCGCAGAGGAGATGAGAGAATGTCCCTGGAATGGGGTCAGGCAGGAGCAGAGGCAGCAGAAGCTGGAAGTGGAGTGGGGCACAGGGAGGCTGAGGCACCTCCTGCCCCAGTGAGGCAGCACAGGTAGCACCGTGAGCGGGGATGGCACTGACTGAACCAAGCACTCACTTGGGAATCATTTTGCTGGCGCAGTGGGTGCTTTGGAGAAAACAGGGGAGGTTTTGGAGCTGGCTGGGGTGCAGAGAGATGAGCTCCATGCAGACGGGTGCCCTGGGCTCCAGCCTATGTTACCTGCTGATAACTAATGCCAATTACACTGTAATTAATGCTGTAGTAAGTGTTGTAGCAGCAGGAGGGTTTGGGATGGGGACACGGGGAAATCAAAGCTCTGTGAAGTACCTGTGGTGCGGTCGGGGCACTTGCAGGGCAGAGCAGCCTGTGCCCGCACCCACCCTGCTGCCAGGTATTTCTCATTTCTTCCCTCTCTAAGGAGAAATCCGGGTCTTGCAATGACCCGAACCCTGCCTCGTGTGGTTTTTCTCATCATTTTCCTGGTTCCTTGCCCCAGAGCTGCTCATGGTGCGAATCCTGGCCCTTCACCAGGCTTCCAGCACACTGCCTGGCCGCAGAGAACCAGGACCAGCCCAAACCCTTTGACCCCACTCAAGAACCCTGTGGGTCTCTGATGTGCCCAGAGAGGGTTGTTTTCCCAGTTTTCCCTTCTTAATGTCCAAGCAGCCACTGGTGCCTCCTCCACTGGGTGCCTGGGGCAGCTCTCCTGGGCTGCCTCTGCTCCTCTCAATGAGCTCTTACTGAGTTTGCAATTACTTGTCGGCAGAGCCGATGTGCCCAGGGCTGGGAGCAGCGGAGCAGGATGTGGAGCAGGGGAAAGCACCCCCTTGCAGGGAGCAGTGTGTGGTGCTGGCCCCGGTACCCAGCAGGGTGCCAGGCTCTGGATATGGGATGCTTCTCTTGGGGTCTGCTCAGTGGTGTTGGAATGAAGCTGGGAAGGTCTGGGGAGATGAGCAGCAGCTGCCGACGGGAGACGAGTGGCTGCCTATAAATACCTGCCAGGGAACAAGGAAGAAGTGGGTGGATTATCCTCCTCACTCAATGAGATAAATGCTTCTGAAGCTTAAACACAGAACAATTTTAGTCTGAATAGTAGGAGAAATGGTTCAGGATGTGGAGATGATGGCATGAACCACCTGAGGTGAGCAGTGGGGTCCCTGTGCCGCTTGGCAGCACTTCTCTTCCACTTTGCTGTTGCCTGGGGTCTCGTGCTGCAGGGTTGTTGCTGGGACTCAGCTGGGATGCACTTCATTCCTCCTGGCTTTAAAAGCTCCTTCTTCAGCAACACCCAAAACAATGGAGCTGGGGCCTTGCACTGGGAGGGGGTTTTGGCTTCCTTCAGGCACAGCACTGGCTCCACTCCTCCAGTGCTTCAGGGCCGTGCAGTAGCAGCAGGAGGGGAGCTGGTGTGCTGGGAGAGGCCCCGTTTCTCCTCTGGTTTGACCTGACGGCGGTTGTGTTGGCATGGCTGGCATGGGACAGAAGGCAGCCAAGGACACAGGACCTCAACCCGGCCATGACATCTCCTGTTGTACTGGCACTGTCCCCTTCTATGCCCATGAGCGTGCAGAACCAGCTGGACACAAGCCCTCACTCCCTCCCCACTGCTGCCCCGCTTTGCTGCTTCCATCAACCCAAAATGTTTTCTAAAGCACTTCAGTTTTCAATGAAAACTTCTGCCTTTACAACTTCTGTTTGGCCTCAGCACGTTGGGGGTTTGGCCACCATTGCTTTTGGTTTTCCCTGGGATCGGCATTGGAGCTATGTTCCTGTGAGCCTTGACAGTCAGGGGTGCATTGCACCCAGCTGGCTGTAATGAGGCACAAAGCAGGATCCCAGCTGTAATGGAAGCACTGTGGCAGGATTCTGCTCCGGCAGCATGACCTCGCTTCTGCCCCACAGACCCGCACCTCAGGATGTTTCCCTACTCCATAAATCTTCACAAATGCAGCATCTGCAGCACTGGTACAGTTGCAAAAACCCGGCAGCAGGCAGCAGGGAGGGGACATGGGTTGGTGGGACAACCGTTTCCCATGGGGATTTCTCGGTTGCTGGTTGGAAAACCCAATGGGTCTACTCAACCCTAGTGAGGCCACATCTGGAGTACTGTGTCCAGTGTTGGGCTCCTCAGTACTACACAGACAAGGAGCTGGTAGAAAAGGTTCAGCAGAGGCCACAGGGATGGTCAGGGGTCTCAAGTGCATCTCTCTTACAAGCAGAGGTTGCGGGAGCTGGGCCTGGTTAGTCCAGAAAAGGGCAGACTGAGAGGGGTCTCATCAGTGCAGATCAGTACCTCAAAGGCAGGTGCCAGGAGCATGGTGCCAGACCCTTTTCAGTGGTGCTGAGAGACAGGATGAAGAGCAATGGCCATAAAGTAAAACACAACGAGTTTCACCTCAACATGAGGAAGAACACTGGAACAGGCTGCCCAGAGGGGTTGTGGTGTCCTCCCTCTCTACAGACATTCCAAACCCACCTGGACACATTCCTTGTGATCTGCTTCTGGTGGCCGTGCCTTGGCAGGGCGCTGGACTGGGTGATCTCCAGAGGTCCCTTCTAATCCTAATGGTTCTGTGATTCTATGAAGTAGCCCTTGGCTTGGAGGGTTCTTCCTAGCAGCTGTCCAGCCTCACTTCCTCTCTCACATCCCACCGGTGGGTTTTCTCTGAAACCCCAACTTTGCCAACTCGAGCAGTTGGATTTCAGCACTGGTTAACAAGGAGACACGGACGATGATAAATTGAAGCGTAGACACAATTCTTCTTGCAGGATGCTGGGAGCTGTTTTTAGTCATGCATCCATCGAGCTGCTGTGCTGATCCACCTCCACCTCCAGCACTCAGACGCTGAAATGGTGCTCCTCATCCAGGAGGCCAATAAAACACTATGGAGATGAGCTGCTTGGGAGATCTTATGAGTCAAGCCGTTACATTTTTGGAACATCATGATGTTGAAGTTCCTTTTCTATTTTTTACCCAACTTCCCAGGAACACACAAAAAAATATATAATCAACTAAGAAGCTGAGCTCTGCTCTGGGATAAGAAGTGGCTACAGAACCCAAACGATGCCAGATTTCTCTGCCATGGTACCCAGTGGTGCCTGTGTCTCTGCTTAAGACAGTTGTGCTGCACCCTTGTGTGTGCTCATAGTGCGGGTTTGTGCCTTTGGGGGATGATGGAGGGTGATGCAGCACCCTGAAGACGTCAGAGGAGATCCCAGGGTGGTTTTGCTGCTGTGGTGGTGTGGTGGGTGAGTCCAAGCCTGGCTCATGGGGAGGAAAAACTGCTGCTGGCTTGTTGGGAGGGTGGAACATCGGTGTTGTCATCAGTGCTCTGCAGCAGAGCATCCAGCACAGCAGTGATGTGATGGATGATCAGAGGTATGTGGTGGTGATTTGCTGCAGAACCTATATCCTGCTTAGTGCCTGTGGTGTGGCCCTGGCCACACTCCAGAGCTCTGCAAAGGCAGGAGGGTGGAGACAGGGCTGGCTCCTGGGGTCCCCATTGGACCCTGTGGCCCTGCCTCTTGTGGCATCTGGAGCATCAGCTCCAGATCCACTGGGTTGGTGGCTTCTGGGGACTACTCAGTAGTGCCCTGAGCAGCCCAGAGTCAGCTCCAAGCCCCAGGGATGGGATGGGATGGGATGGGATGGGATGGGATGGGATGGGATGGGATGGGACGGGATGGGACAGGGTGTGGTGGCTTTGCAGCACCCATCGGGAACAGTGACACCTCTGCCTTGCAGCGCAGCCATGAGTGCAGGTTCGATTGAGCAGGAGCCGTCGCGCAAGCTGGCCTGCTGCGGGGTGCCCCTCATCACCGAGGACATGCAGTCCCTGGCCATCCGCACCCTCTCAGGCACTGACATCAGCAAGCACTACGACCTCATCCGTGAGCTTGGCAAGGGCACCTATGGCAAGGTAGACCTGGTGTCCCACAAAAGCACAGGTGAGAGGAGCACGGGGGGCACTGGGGACATGGCTGTGCTGGGAGTGGGGTGCTCAGCTTGTCCCAGCTGTGCCCTGGGCTCATCCCTATCTCCTGCCTACTGCAGGCACCAAGATGGCCCTGAAGTTCGTCAATAAGAGCAAGACGAAGCTGAAGAACTTCCTGCGGGAGTTCAGCATCACCAACACGCTCTCCTCCAGCCCCTTCATCATCAAGGTCTTCGATGTGGTCTTTGAGACCGAGGACTGCTACGTGTTCGCTCAGGAGTATGCCCCCGGCGGGGACCTCTTCGACATCATCCCGCCACAGGTGGGACCCCTCCTGTGGGGCTCTTTTGGGGTGGGTGGGATTTGGTAACCCCAGGGCACTAAGCAAAGCTCCTGCTGTGCTTCAGTGGGACGGGGCCCCATGTGTAGACACCGGGCATCTCTGTATGGGTTGACCCTAACCACAAGCACCTACAAGCAAGACTGGGACCCATCACTCATCCCCTGGGGTGGCCTGAAACCCATCCCTTGTAGGTCCCTGGACCCATCACCCATCCCTAGGGTGGCCCAGAACCAGCAGCCATGACCGTGTCGGACGCCTAACGACACCAATGTGGTGGTTCCGGACAGGGTGGGATCACCGGGGGCTCGGTGGCTCGCAGCTGACACTGTGTCCCTGCTGCTGCAGGTGGGGCTCCCCGAGGAGCTGGTGAAGCGCTGTGTGCAGCAGCTGGGCCTGGCCCTCGACTACATGCACAGCAAGAGCCTGGTGCACCGGGACATCAAGCCGGAGAACGTCCTGCTCTTCGACCGCGACTGCCGCCGCGTCAAACTGGCCGACTTCGGCATGACCCGCAAGGTGGGCTGCCGGGTCAAGCGCATCAGCGGCACCATCCCCTACACGGCGCCTGAGGTGTGCCAGGCCGGGCGGGCGGAGGGCTTCGCTGTGGACACCAGCATCGACGTCTGGGCTTTCGGGGTGCTCATCTTCTGCGTCCTCACCGGCAACTTCCCCTGGGAGGCGGCGGTGGCGTCGGACGCCTTCTTCGAGGAGTTTGTGCGGTGGCAGAAGGGGCGGCTGGCGGGGCTGCCCTCGCAGTGGCGGCGCTTCACGGACAGCGCCCTGCGCATGTTCCAGCGCCTGCTGGCCCTCGACCCTGAGAAGCGCTGCCCTGTCAAGGAGGTCTTCTACTTCCTCAAGTGCGACCTGATGGCTGAGGTGCGGTGCCGACCCTCCTACCGCTCCCGCAAGCACGCCAGGGACAAGCTCCCGGCCGGGCCACACTGCCATGAGGCAGCCGGGCCCTGCACCCCTGCCCCACTCAAGAGGACCGTGCTGACCGAGGGGAGCAGCCCCCGCGGCCCCGAGCCGAGCACGGCGTCCCCGGGCACGGCGAGCAGGACAGACGGACGGCAGGACAAGGGCAAAGGGCAGATGGTCCTGGCCACAGCAATAGAGATCTGTGTGTGATGGCACCAGGGCAGCTAGCGGTGCCCACCCGTCCTGTCCTGTCCCCCTGCCACGGGGATGGGGATGGGCGGTGCTGCTCGTGGTGGTGGCATGAGACGGGACCAGGCCCCAGGTCTCCCAAAGGAAGAAAAGATACAGAAAGCAAGAGGAAAAGGACAAAGCTGGCTGCGCTCTGCAGCGCTGAGGATGCTGATCCCCCACTTCCTGCCTGGCAGCAGCACGGCCAACGGCACCGCTCACTGCCCATGAGGACGCTGGTGCCCCGGCTCCTGCCATCCACAAGCCTCCCCCAGGGTGGCCCAGGAGGGGTCTCCCAGTGTGGGGAGGATGCACTGAGGAGGCTGCACACCTGGGGGTCACTGCCCAGGGTGGGGGGTCCAGGGCAGTTGGTACCCACTGGCTCTCCCCACCCCATGCTCAAGGGAAGGCCGATGACACTGCATATGGAAGAGGCCTTTGGGGACGCTTTAACCCCTTCCACCAGTCCCTGCCCCATTTGTGGGGCCTGGGAAGTGATGGAGGGCTGGTGATGGGGAGCTGGGGGTCACCAGCTGCCTCCCTGCAGCAGGAGATGCTGGCAGCCATTGATGTAGCAGTGTCCCTGTGTGTTGTTGTGTGTCCCAACCGCCGGCAGCACCGGCCCGCCCTGCCCTGCCGCTGGAAGCCCCAGGCCCCCACAGAGGGACCGGTCCCCTCGCAGCCGGGAGCTGAGCTCCGCGGTGCCAATGTCCAGCAGGTTGGATGCTTGGTGTGGGCGGCTCTGCCATGGTGGTGTCCCTTTGTCTCCTCTGCAGACTTTTTGTACCCAGGGACTGGAAGAGGCGGTGGTGGCTCATCTCCAGGCTGGTCTGCACAACCTGGGGGCTTCGAGCAGAATCCTGTGTTGTCCCCATCGCCCCTCTTTGATGTCACCCCTTCCCCAAACCCCCATTACCTTCCCGTGGGGCTGGTGGGGAGGCAGCAGTGGGGTGACCCCCCAAAATCTGGCTGCAGCGGGGCAGGACCTGCTGATGGCCCCTTACGGACAAGGTCATGGGGTGTGTGTGGGGTTCACAACTCCCCTCCTGGTTTTGGGGGGCTCAGGGGGCACCCCAGAGCAGCAGCATCCAATCCACGGCATGGTTCAGGCTTCCTCCCATCATGGTGGGTGCCGTGGGGACCCCTTCTGCTCCCTTGGGCGTCCCAATTCCCGCACAAAGGGCTATCCAGCTATCCAGCAGCAGCAGCAGTTTACACAGCGGGCGGGCGCCCGGCTGGCCCCACCACCGCCGCTGCCCCATCCCCGCGGCCCCCCCGGGCCGGGTTAGAAGTAGCATTGCCCTGATGTAGAGACGCTAGACGCGGACTTTCCTCCTTTTTGCCTTAGGTCCCTCGATGTCCTCGAACTTTTCGTGCAATAATGTAGATGCGGGGCTGCGGCCGCCCCGGGAGGGCCGGGCTGAGCCTCCCTGCGGGGCCTGGCGCTGGTTCCTGTTCTCGTCGAGGTCGCTGTGTCCATAGGTTGTTGGGTTTTTATTTCCAGTTCCCTTGGCTGTCGGGTTTTGGACCTTCTTCCCGTAGGAGAGGCTGTAGTGTCACAGACGTTACCTCAGTTTGTCACTGTTGAAAAGGAGTAAAAAACAAAACACAATCCACAAATAATAAGCATAAAAAAATGACAAAATACATAGTTATAAAAAACCAAAACCAGTCTCAATGGTGCTGAAGACGTTTTTCTTTCAAGAAACAAAAGGTGATGCTGCTCATGCAGCTGCGGCCTTGGGGCTCCCTGTCCGCCCCTTTCACCTGTCCCCCCATGCCCTGCTGCCACCCCAGGGTGGGAGGGAAGGGGAGCAGGAGCAGCACCCATAGGTGGGTGGGGACAGGCAGAGCTGCCTGATTCCAAATGTATTCCAGCCACGTCCCCAGGCTAATTTCAATTTCCTGGTAATTATGTAAATGAATGTGGATTTAATTAAGGGCAGATTTCATTAAAGTCTTCTTTGGGAAATGAGAACAGGGTGGGGTGAGCAAGGAGGAGAAGGCAGTGGCAGGGAAGGAGGGATGAAGGCAGCATCTGCCCCTGAAGATAAATGGCTGCCTGGGATGCTGAGGAGATGGGATAGGATCCACTGTGAGCAGGGCTCCTGCCTTCTCTCTGCCATGGGAGCCCTATTGTGGGGGCTCAGGGTCCCCAGCCCAGAAGCTGTGTGGGACATGGCTGGGGGGCAGCACTGGGGACGACAAGGGAAGATGCAACAGTGGCTGCTCCAAGTGCCTCCAACCCCGCTCTGGGGACAAGGGACAGCAGCATCCAGCCCTGTTCGTCCACTGCCTTCAGCAGTGCAGGCTTTCACCTCCTTTCCCTTCCCATCAGGGCAGAGAAAGCATTTCTGTACCACGCGGTTTATTTCCCCCCCTTCCCCAGCTAAAAATACTGATTTGGCCACAGCAAAAGGTCTGGGAAATCAATGTCATTGTCACTAGGCGCTGGCTGCAAGGACTCTCCCCTCCCCGAGCGCAGACAGAAAAGGAAATGCTGCCATTTGACGTCTCTGAAGCGAAGCGCTGGGGCTGCTCGAGCTGAACTCATTCAAAGGGAAATGGCTAATTTTATCCCAGCGAGGTCGGGGATGCTGAGAGCCAATAGGTGCCAGGACCGCAGGCGCTGCCTGGCTCAGGTGAAACCTTCAGACCCAAAACCATGGTCACAACAGCAGCTCAGCAAAGCCACCACGTCCCCTCCAAGCTCGGTCTGGGTTTGGCCAGGAAGGTGACCGCTGCCCTTAAGCATTCCCAGAACAACGGGTGAGCAGCATAGGCATCGCTCTGGAAGAAAATAACTTGTAAATGGGTACAGATCCTTGAGCCGGGAGCAGAGATGGGGGGAAGAGGCACAGGGTGGGAGAATAGGGTGGGTGCTGCAGGTCCAGCTCCACTGGCTCTCCATAAAACCAGACCCTTCCTGAGCTGGGGAGGCCAGGAGGCCCTGGTTGCGATACTCAGCAGAGCCTGCCTGCCTCTGGCTTCATCCAGCCCTCGATTCCTGGAGCTGAATTCTGCCTGTTTTGCCCAGAGATGCCAAATGGGCCCGTGCAGCCCAGCTGAAACACTGGAGCTTGCGAGTAAAAATAACCGCGAATGATCCACTCCTTTGGAACACAAGCGATCAGTGCCACAAGAACACCCCAACCAATCCCGACAGCCCTCCAAAAGGTATTGATTTTGCCCCCAAGACGCTGCTTCAGCTCCCCGATGCCCCAAGAGGGGCTGCAGGAGGGGCCCGGTGCTCACACACTGGGCCGGGATCACAGGGGCTGGGCGGTGGGTGGGGGATGGGAGCTTGGCGCGGTGGGAACATTCATTAACTGCGCTCCTGAGGGCTGATCCGCTTCCAGGAGCTCCCAAAAATAGCTCCAGCACCGAGCAGAGACGGGCGGTGGAAGGAAACGTGACTCATGTGCTACCCAGTGCCCTGCAACGCCAGGCGAGCCGTGAGAGCCAGGGACACTACTGGGAGGACACAGGAGCCACCCCAGTGCCCTTCCTGGTGCAGGGGCTGTATGTGCCCGGGCTGTCCCTCCCGCAGGGCCCCTCTGCTGCTGCGCTCCAGCCGCCAGGGAGATGCAGGACAGATGTCAGTCAAAGCCTGGTGGCTGCTGAGGCCCCCCTGCAGGGACAAGTCGCTGGAGCCAGGCAGCAGAAGCTGTCCTGAGACGGGGAAAAAAAAATCCAGCCCCACAGGATTCAGGGGGTGGCAGAAAGGAGAGGTGACCTTGTGTGTCAGATCCAGCACCTCGGCATACAGCGAGGGCAGAGCTGGCTGCACCCCTACCCCTATATCCATCCGGCCCCATGGAAACAGCCCAGTGAGCATCCCACAGGGAATAGCTCCCAGCCACAGCCAGCTGGGAGGATTCCAGGCAGAGGGAAGGCAGAGGTTCTGAACTGGCTGGGTGCTCCTGCAATGGGTTTGGACATGTTTTTTCACCCAAAGGTGCTTCTCCCTGTGGAAACCCCAGTGTTTTTCACCAGGATCTTTCAGCTGAACACTGGGTTGGTCGACTGTGGGAGGAAGGGGGTAACCACAGTTTTGGGGTGCAGTGAGGGTCCAGGGAGGTGATGGTGAGAGCACCCAGCCCTCCACCCCCCATCACCCAAGCGCTAGGTCACAAACTCCAGCCCGGCCTCCTCCTGTGTTGCCATGACAACTGCAGCATCCCAGCGTGCAAGGACAGGAGATGTGGGAGGTCTCATCCACCCATCCCCACCACCACAGCTCAGGATGTGGCACAGGGAGCACACTGCCCTCAGCCCCAGCCGCGAGTGCCACCAGCAGCACCCCAAGCTCACAGCTGAGCCTAAGGTTCTATTTAAATTGGTCTAAATCCACACTTCTCTGAATTCAGATGTTCCTTTATATTCCTCCAAAAGCCACAGGGCTGGCAGTACAGGGGGCAGGAAAGGTTTTGGGGTTTGAGATGAGGATTTGCCCATTCAAAGCCCATCTGCAGAAATGTAGCTTGTGCCATGACCCAGCTGACGCTCAAGCCACACCAGTGCAGACACGTCCCCCCAGCCACAAACAGCAGCTCTAGCCTTGCTGGGTCCCTGCCGGCAAAGCATCAAGACACAAGGTTCCCTGCCTGCCCCCAAACCCCCGTCCTCCCTGGGGTTATGGGGTCAGTCACCCCTCAGTCACCTCAGCTTTCAGGGTGGTGGAGCCCTGGGGTGCCTCTGCATCCAGCATCATCCCACACTCAGAGCTCTTGCTCACAGCAGCCTCACAAGACCTCAGCTCTCAGCCTGACTAGATCCTGACTTAAACCCTCGCTGACATCGGTGGCACCAGGCTGGGGAGAAGCTGAGCTCCTCACCTCAGAGGCTGCTACACCTCCAGAAAAGTCTCATTTGAGAAGCATTAATACAAGATTAATAGAGGCTTTAATAAGCAGTGAATCAACTGCTAAGGGAGCCCAGCTTGTAAGCCAGCTCTAACACTGCCGGGGCTTAGAGGCATCCAGAACATGCCTCAAACATGTTTAAAATGGATGTTAATCACTTTGTAGCTGCAGAGACACTACACTGGAAATAAACTTCATGACAAAAGGTTGCAGATGGGTCAGGAGGACCTGTCTCATCCCTCCATCTGCTTCACAGAGTTTGGTTCTACAAGCTGGGCTGCTTGCACACTGGTGGGAAGACAACAGGAATTTGGCTCACCCTTGTGCCCCTGGGGCTGGGGCTGGAGCTGGGTCAGGACACCACAATGAAGGAAGGCCAGTTCACAAGGGACATCCTCATCCCACCTGAAGCACAGCCACCCTGGGAACGGCACCTGCCCTGGTCACAGAGTCAGGGCCATACACTGCCTGGAGCAGGACAAACACCAGAGCTGGCCTCAGGCCCCTCTCTCAGGGCCACACCACCCTCCTCCTCAACTGCTCTTCCTTCTGCCCATCAGCACCACCTTTCTGAAGCTTCACTGCTCCATTCCTCTGCTTTGCACGCCCCCATCTCCTCTGCTCCCAGCACTGGGTAATCCCAGAGAGTGATTTAGATCCCTACCCTCAGCCTCCTCTTCACCGGTGATGAAGGTCCAGCTCCCTCCACCTCTGCTGGACTCACTCCAGTTTATGACACACCTGCAGTCACTTGAGGGGCTGGCCCTTCCCTAGCCTAGCTTGAGGAGTACTCCCAATGGCCAAGGTTTAGTCTCTAAGTCCTGTTTCCTTTGGGCAGGGCAGGAGGGTGGCCTGTCCTGCAGAGCTCCTCAGCCACATCTGCCCTCATTGCCCACAGAGGCTGCCCAGGGTAACAGGCACATGGCAGGTCTGACTGGCTGACCCACAGGATGCCCAGGACACTTGCTTGGCTTCAAGTCCAAGTGGATTTCAATATTTAAAGGCTGCCAGGCTCTGGAGCTGCACATCAGAATACAGGGTATGGTTGTTTGAGAAGCTCAGCAACATATATGCAGAAGACAATGGTA